ACCTCCGCCCGTGCCTCAAAGCCTCGGCACTGGTACACAGGCCGGTGACTGTCAACGGGCTGGCCTCACCGGGATCGGTGTGCAAGAGTTACACAGGTAGCACTGAACATATGAACACCACAGAATTAATTACTTCCAACTCATCACCTTTTTTTAACAGCATCTTTATCAAGAAAGTAAATAGCCAGCACATCATCTTTGCAAGAACAGAAGTATGCCACTGTGGGCTTTTTCTAAATTTATTTTTAACTTTTTTCCAGCTCACTGGCTGTCACTGCAACCCAAATGTAAATTAAGTCTTAAATAGAGCCTTCTGTCAAATCTGAGCCCATTTTGACTGGCAGATTTCAAAAGTCATCCTTTTTTTCAAGACAGAGAAATTAAGCACTCGGAGCTCTACACGTACCTCCTTCACTCTAGTTCCAGAGTTGCTTAAACACAAGATTACTCCATACCCTAACACGGCATCCTCCACATTTCCAAGACATGCAAATTATCTACAACTTTTTCTGCAAAATCATACAGTTAGTCCATGTGATTTCCCTATTCACCTACTTCTACTCTGGCTTCTATTCTAACTTAGGACCTACAGAGTTTATCTTCTGTGCTCCGACCTGGTTGCTCTCTTAACGGAGCTGCTTCTCCTCCACCAACAGCAGCAACCCTTTCCCCCACCATCACACATCTCAGCTACTGAAAAATAACCCATTAGTCAGAAAACAGTCAAAAATCCACACCGTAAAAGAAACTTCAGATTCTCAGGATGTCCCACTTAAGTCAGTATCCTGGCAAGCAAATGAAATCAACGCAACAGTGGCAACTTGTAAAAGAGTACATAAACTGAGCTACTGAGTTGATGCAGAAATCCCCTGAGCTGACATTTAAGGACTTTCTTGGGTCATTGTGACAAAAGAACAAGCACAAGAACAGGTAAGGCATGACTGATCCCATCAGTTTATGCTGGCTCTCACAGTATGTACTGCTAGACAAAACCTTTACAATGCAGGAACAAGTACAACCACCTACAATGCATACAGCAGAAACCAGGTACTCTCACTCAACCTAAGACTACAGCCTCACCAGTCCTTGCATGGAGGATCCTGGATTTACATGTAAAGTTACCGTTTGTATTATGCTGACTGGGTGTTTGTGAAACACTGCTCTCTATTTTCAGCTGATACTCGCTGTTACTTCCCTACAGGTCACTTGCATCACGCAGGCATACGTACAGTCTCAGTGGGGATTACGCTTTAGAGCGGGGCCTGCCCAGCTCTTCATGGAAATCTTTCTCCTAAAGGTTTCCAATTCACATTTAGGTGTTTGAAGGCATGTTCTTACAAACTCAACTTTCATCCCAGACAATGCTGCCGGACGTAGGAACTGTATCTCAGCTGTAAAAGCATCTTTCACTGAATACAATTAGACACTAGGCACAGCAGACTACTCAATTCCTTCCCTCAGGGAGCAGCAGCAGCTGTGTCAGGGGCAGTCAGTGTCAAACCTTCTGCTTAGTATTTATTAATGCCAAAGATCCGAACGCCATGCAACTGTGGCAGCTTGGGGATGAGCACGGTCAGGAGGGAGGTTGTGTTGAGGATGAAGTGTGTCGGATCATACTTTGTGTAGAAACTTGCCAGGAAGTACCTGTGGGAGAAAAGGGAGCAAACTTAGCTGGTGACACCCTTGTCTGAAAGACAAACAAGCAAAGCTAAGTAGAAGACAGTGCTTCAGTAATCAGTGCTATTTTACTGGTTAACCACCATTCTATTCCTGTAATAAATCTCACCTGGGGCTCTAGAATATCTACAGCACAATTATGGACCAAGTCTCTTCTTCCCACCCTTCTCACGGTGGTGAAAACAACCCTCAGGTAGCGTTTTCCTCCAGCACTTCTTCCTGCCCTTCAAGCTGGAGTCTGACTTCCGCAGCTACAAGCCTCATTTATGATACATGTTTAGACACTTACACCAAAATAGTTGCAGTTCTGCTACCCTAGCAAGCTCAGTGAGAAAGCATTTGATGTTTTTCAGTGCAAAATCACTTATGCTGAGCACATCTGTGGTAGGTATGACTTTAAAATGCTTCCTGTCTGCGGATGTTTCCAGCACTACTTTTAAGCTAGTCCACAATCTGTTCAACTGCAAGAATAAGGAAATATGCCTCAGAAAATCCAATTCACTACCAACTTCTTTACTCTTTGAGACAATAATTTCATCTTGCTCTCTGCAGAAACTAGTCACAGAAATGAGGCTATCACATTGTTGGGGTTTTGTTTTTTCCCCAGCAAAACAGAGATGTTGATTCAGCTACTTATGCATTATTAGTGCATGAAGAGAACCATACACAAGTGTTACAAATACAAAGCCAACTTCCCAAACATGATGCAGGATCTTCCCCCCTGCCTGCCCGCCATGCAAGTGGACAACTTCCTTCAGGGAAAAACAGAAAGACTTTTTAAAGTTGGGTATTAAATATGTACCTGATGTCCTTCAGTTACACATCATACCTTTGTCAACAGAGACAGACAGGGTAGAATATCTCATCTATTTACATAACTAGTGTAAACAGAAGACAATCCGTACAAAGCAGAACTGACATACAAAATCCTGGACCCCATTCAGTGAAGGCTGCCACACTCCTCAGCACTCACAAGTCACTGAAGTGTTAATAAATGCTGTCATGTGCCAAAGGCACAGTTTGGATTTTCAATATTCATGACTTCATGATCTCCTAAAGAACTTCAAGAGTTAACAGTAAGTTTTCCTCGTTTCTTATCTTTAAAACCTGCCCCATTAATGACTGTACAAACTTTGACTTCACTATGCGAACTAGAGTGTCAAAAGCTGCAGGATGATCATTGATAACCTGTAAACGTGCAGTCCCTACCTCTGTGATGTAGAAACACACAAACAAATAATAAAAAAAAAAAAAGATAAAATGCTTTTACAATGTAATTTGCACCCCATTTGAAACTTTTGAAATCATGATTTTATGATTCAATTAATCTAGAAAACAGTTTTGAACTCACAGAATTATAGGAGAGATTGTGAAGAATTTTCTTGAAGACGTAAATTGTACTCCATAATCCAGTTGTTCCCAGTGTGTTAGTAGCCTAGCTTTCCCCTGATCCGGTGTTTCGAAAGGAGTTCCCTTTACTGCATGCAAAAACACATACATTCCCTGGGGAAAATAAAAAAGGGAACACAGTGGCACTTTTAGCTATGTTTTTTTAATAATTGCTACGTTGTCAGTGCATCTTAAAAACAGAGAATAAATGAATTCTCAGCTGAAAGAGCTGCTAGCCTGTAACAATAAATTATCACAGAGCAGGGAAGAGACAAGAAGTGATTTGCCCCAGATTGTGCAGTCAGTGGCACACTCACAATCAAAGCCAAAGCCTATGTGACATCCAATCCACTGCCTTGTCTTCTACATGAGATGGCAAAAATTGTATGAAATTAACAGAATTTTAACCAGCACTGTCACAAGCTCAGGGCTGCTGATGTGTATTACCACTTCCCTAACAGTGTTAACTGAGTTAGGAGGTAGAGTCTGCACAAAGCAAAATCTATCTATGAATAATGCCAACATTACAAGAATTTTTAAAGCATTCTCAACCCCAAACCAGCTTCAAACGCTCGGAAGCTGACTACCAGCAAGCTGTTGAATACCATTTGTCCATGTCTTTGCTGTTTCTTCTTTACCACACTGGACTTCCCTTGTGATTGTTTCTACCCAATGGGAACAGGCCATCAATTTGGCAGGTTCCAAGAGATCAATTTGGGCCCATTGACTTCAGACAGGGGAGTCTGTCCTCTTCCAGATTTAACAAACACTTGTTTTCTATCAAAGCAAGCACACCAACTCCAAGCAAGAGTCTCTACCAGAAAATATCAAAAGACTTACTTTTCTTTCTTTCAGATCCTTTCTTATGCACATACAGAAATTGTCACAGAAACCTTTATATAGAAAAAATATGTTTATTTTCAATTGTTATAAAGGAGGTGAAATCTGAGCAAGTCACTTCAAGTCATCTTCCCTTTCTCTTTTTTGGAACCCCTGACTGGAAGCCTGTGAACCCAAGAGAATTCATTAATTTGCTTAATTAATTCTTTGCTTCATGACGTTTGCAGCATCTCATTTTTTAATAACTATACCAAGAAGTCACTTTTAGGACAGATCCACGTGCTTACCTCATATTTTATTTTGCACTGATATTTGCAGAAAGGAGCACCAGAAATGCTTTCAACATCAACTAAGAGTTCTCCAGTAGTGGAAATCCAAGATTTTGTTGTTAGTCAAACCATTCAAAGATTTGTTTCCCAAAAAGTACCATTTAAATGCCAAAATATCCAAAAGTGCAGTTTATACTTAATCTTTTAGGCTTCCACTAGGAAACTATTTGCCAGTGCACGCTCTCATCCCTGTTGCCATTATAGCTACTTGCTATAATGAATTCAGTAAGGCATTTGGGAAATATTTAGCAATACTTATCTCTGCCAACCACCATCTTCCCAAGACAGGCATGTCTGATGCTGACAATGATACCATACACAATGCTCTACTGTTGTTTACAATGCCACTATTAGTTTTAAATCTATCTACAAAACCAAAAAGCTTGAATAAAAATCACTTTATTTTTCACAGGATCCAAGAGGATATTATTCCACCTTCCTAAGTAAGGAAGAAGCTATCTTTTTGTTAAGGCTTCTTTGCTGTTAATCTTAGAAAGCTGAGTTAGCAAACCTCAAGTATGACATAAAATGCTGGATTATGGCCCTCTTTTCATACATCACTCATCCTCCCAAGCCAGCCAGCTCATCTGTGGATAAGCCAAGCAGAAGTGATGTTTTGGCTAGCTGGATTTCATTATCCATACAGCCTGGCTACTTTTCTCTTCTCCTGCTACTAAAAATAAGGATGTATGAACAACTTCTCAAACTCTGTTACAAGAGGGGGTACTTACCAGGTTGTGAATAACGTTCGTTAAAGTCCAGGCAACAGGCACACTAAAGAAAGGAATGCTGAGCAAGACAATGTGCAGCAGGCCAACTCCGAGTGCGTATGTCAGCCACATTCCGCGACTGTTCATCACCCGCGTGTTTGGATTTACCTCGCTGTGGGCAACGCCTACGTTCATTTTTACCCTATAAAACAGATCTGTTTGAAGATTGAGACTACTGTTATAGACAAGTACTTAACACATACAGTTTTCAGATTTGATAAGGGCTATTTTAAATCAGCAGGTCTGGCAGGAACACAGTGCCTAAGCCAAGATGTATCTCAAGATCTTCAAAGTATGGTTTATAGAGAAGTCAGTAGAAAGGGGCTGTTGGGAACAGTTTGTTTAAGAAAAGCCCAAACAAACAAACCCCACAAGCCTGCTACAGAAGGGATGTTTTAAAGAGAATAGTAAGCTGTGCTCTTGTTAGCTGAAGTTGCAAACCTGTAAGAAATCAAGCTTTGTAACTGTTGTCCTCTCAATTCTTTCCTCCATCCACAATGATATCTGCAGTTCTTACCCGCTTCCATCTCAATTTTCCTCCTGTTTCTTGCTCGTGTAATAGCTAGTGAAGAATTCTGCATATACCAATTGCCCAGCTACCTACTGCTAGAAAGAACAAGGACTGACTGATTGCTTTTTTTGCAGCAGACTGCAGATTTCCTCCTCTCCCCACCTGTTAGTTCTCAGACAGACATTTCCATCTTTGAAATCTGGATGAAATTAGCCAATGGGTTAAAAAGTTTTCTAAGTGACAGCCACAGGCAGAGATACATAGAACAATTTCATAACACTGATTTCATGAGGAGATTTTCAGCTTACTGGGGACAACACTGTATTAAAATCCGTACTGATAATCATAAAAAATCATTGCATATTTCATACTTATGTGATCTGTGAGACTATATTCATTTATGGGCCTGGAACAAAGACTTTATAACTTCCTTCTAAATCAGCCTGCAAAGCACTGTTTAACCAGTAAAAATAGCTTGCTTTTGGTAGGAAGTTTGTTTCTTACGCTGGCTTAGTGCCACAAAGCCCTGTAATACCCAAATATTTTGCAATATTAACAGCAGACTGTAAAAATAGATGCAATGAACCCGAAACCGAACCGCGACTGTGCTGATTTTAATCAATACTTACTGCAAAGGATTTCAAACCGTGCACTCGCAGGGGATACAGCACCGCCGGCGAGCGAGGACCTGCACACACACCTTCGCGTCACCTGCCGCCTTTCCCTGTTTCTCCTCTTCCCTTACCTAACCAGACGGACTCCCGGCCTCCCTCACCCAGCCCGCAGACCCGTGTTTTCCCTCACAGCCGCACAGAAGCAGCGGGACCCGGGGCCTC